TTATATACTGCTTATCATACATCTATTCATCTTAATTAAAAATATTGTATGAATCATAAAAAAGATCAGCTTGGTTAGTTAAAGCATGGCACTCCATCGGAGCACAGGTTCGAATACTAGATAATTGAACTTGATAATCAGTAATTTTTTCAGATTTTTTTCTGCTAGGATTTTTTCTTAAGCAAGTGTGTAACAAGTTGGGGATGATGGGGTGGAGGTAGTATGGAGAAAGAGTTTGAAAAAAGATAGATAGCGTTTAGTTGAAAAAAATAGGACAGAGGTTATGGTTTAATTAGTTGGGCAATGGGAGGTGGAATGAACTAATTTCTCTCGATACACTTAGGTGACAGAACGTGCCCGTAAAAAACTAACAAGTAGTACACGGGTAAGAAAACTACAGTAAAATTATGATAGAGAGAATCTTGATGCTACCTGGTAGTATAAGGAAGCGTATTGTGTTATTGCGACGGTAAAGACGTATCTAAGGTTTTTTTATCCGTCTTTTACTGAATTACGATTTCTTCTCTATGTAAATAACTTATTTGCTAGTAGTGCATACGTAAAAAATAACGTTATGCATTTAAATCAAGCTAATCAAAAAACGATTTGCCGAATGCTTTTCACCGAAAAACAATTTGCCGACAAATTTCGTTTGTAATTCGGCAAAAAAATTTTTTGGAAAAAATCACCTTCGGCTAATTGTGTTATCTGTCAATCTATTGCGGCAATAAATTTTTTCGGTAATTTAACCATTCGATAAATTTTATTTCGGTTAAATATGAACCCCTCCTCTATACATGCCCTTTTCTCAATATCCAATATACTTAACTCATAATACTAAAACATAATATTAATTTCTAATTTACCGACAAGCATTAGAGTCACATAACTACTATATCGAGCTTAGGTGAAAGACAGCTCTAAAAATTAAGAATGAGAAACTTATCTAAACTTACGGTGTGAGTGAATGTACAGCTCCTCGGCAAATCAAGTGGTAGAGCAACTATCTAGTAAACAGGAGGTTGTGTGTTCGATCCGCACCCAGGGAGGATATTTTTGTCATTCTTATTTATTTCTCCAGAAATTTTCTTAAAAAAGAAACTATGTGGTTTTGTATTATGAGTCTTAAGAATATTGGATATTGAGAAAATGGCTTGTATAGAGGATATAGAGTGCTTGTATGGGATTATGTCCGTAATGCCGAGGTAAACTCTGGGATCAGGACGGGCTCCCATAAGCCCAGGAGTTCAGTCGAGAAGGAGAAATCAAGGAGCCAATTCGTAACTGCAACAATAGTGAATTTATTGACTTAGTGACTCGTGAGGCGACTGCCCTGACTCGCAGTCGTAAAAAGAAGAAGGAAAACATAGTGAGCGGGTAGACCGCTACAATGAAGAAGCACTGCAATCGCAAGCAAGCGCGGAGGACAGAGTCGGTACTGCAGAGCTCTGAGTCCCTACATACTCCCCTCCTAGTACAAAATCAATAGAAGCAATAATGCTATCATACACAAAAGGTTACGCAATTATAATTCAGTCGACTGGTGGTCGATAGACTAGAATTTTAGTCTTACAAAAATGTTTGCGTATTTCAATACAAAATAAAAAAAAAAAACAATCTTTCACTACACATTATCATCACGACTGTAATTATACCGATTGTCGGAAGATTAGATTTATAGTCTTATTTTAACTATCTATTTAATCAAACAAAACAAAAAAAAATTTTTAAACGGTATTTACAGCCAAGAATGGATACGTTCAGTACGTATTTATAGAAAAAATGTATACGTACTGAATTAAATACCGTATGACACGTACAAAGGTGTATAAAAGAGGCTTAAGACTAATTACAAAACTTTGCGCTTCATCTACTTAACAGAAGTGTCAAAGGTCACTTTTTTCTTATTACTATAGGTTTTAAGGATAGGGATAGGATGAGTCGAAACTTGAACCTTCTGATGGCTCTTAGTAAGCGCCGGAGTAACCAAGTCATTAGGGACAAAATGTGCTGGCTTTAAAAGCTCGGTCGACACAACCCGAGGGGTGCCCCTATAATCAATTTTGCAATCTTGATCTGAGATCCTCTCCAAAACCTTGTAAGGACCAGTGTAAGGCCTTTCCAGAGGTTTCCTGACTGCGGCTGTTCGCAGAAAAACATGTGAACAGGTGTATAGATCTTTAAAAAAGAAAGCGCGAGGTTTATATCTGTGTGTGACGGGTACAGGTCTGAGTTTTTTCATATGCTCTCTGTAGTCCTCGATGAAGATCTGAGGATCAGCAGTGAAATCACTGGGAAGAAAAAGTTCACCAGGTACCCTAATTTTTGTACCATAGAGAAAATCCGCAGGGGAAGCACCTGTGTCACTTCTTACTGCTGTACGCAGACCAAGAAGCACTGTAGGCAAAAGTTTGACCCAATCTGCATTATTGTGACACATCACGGCCACCTTAAAGCTGCGATGCCACTGCTCAATCATGCCATTAGCAGCAGGATGATAGGCCACTGTTCTTATTCTCTGACAACCGAGAAAAGAAAAATAGGCTTGAAAGAGCTGTGATTCGAACTGTGATCCCTGGTCGGTAGTCAAAAATCTGGGTGCCCCAAAGCGAGCAATCCAGGATTCCTGAAACGCTCGAAGAACTGACGCAGTGGATATGTCTTTGAGAGGCACAGCCTCCACCCACCTAGAGAATCTGTTAATCATTGTGAGAATGTAAGAGTAGCCTTGGGAAGTGTTAAGAGGGCCAACCAAGTCCATGTGGACATGGCGAAACCGATCATCTGGAGCGATGAATTGTAAAGGCTCGTTTTTGACATGTCTGGAGATTTTTGATTGCTGGCAATTGAGACAACCTTTACACCAAGTGGCAATGTCTCTATGCATATTCGGCCACACGTACTTTTGTCTGATGAGCTGATCAGTAACTTTAGTACCCGGGTGAGATGCGGAGTGAGTTAAATCAAAGATTCTTTTACGAAGATATTTAGGAATAAAAGAACGAATTATCTTACCGGTGAGATCGCAATAAAGACTAGTGTGGCTGTGACCCAATTCAATGGGTCTTAGATTGAGAGAATGGGCAGGAGATTTCAGCAGTTCTGAGAGCTCAGAGTCCTGTTGTTGCTCCTTGGCCAATTCTGGGAGCTCTAACTCAAGAGGAAGACGAATGACTTCTACTCTAGAGAGTGCATCAGCCACCACATTTGACAAACCTGGCATGTTTTCAATGGCAGTAGTAAACTGTGAAATAAAGCAGAGCTGTCTCCGCTGGCGAGGAGAGGCCTTGTCAGACTTTTGAATAAACGCGTAGATTCGGGGCTTGTGGTCAGAGACGACCTAGAAATTACGACCCGCTAAGAAGTGCTTAAAATATTTAATAGCTTCATAAATCCCCGTGAGCTCACGATCGTACGCACTGTAGTTTCGTTGAGCTTGGCTAAATTTTCTGGAAAAAAATTCCAGGGGCTTCCAGTCTCCCTCAAAGAGTTTCTCAAGGGTAGCACCTATGGCAAAATCAGAAGCGTCTGTAACGAGACGTGTTTCTGCGTCAGGAGATGGATGGACCAGGAGGGTAGCCTTAGCCAAGTGACTCTTGGTGGTTTCAAAAGCTTGCTTGGCTTCTGGAGACCAGTCAATGACTCTCTGATCGTTTTTCTTTGAATCAGCCGTGTAATCAAAAAGAGGGGCCTGTGCAGAGGCTGCCTGAGGAAGCCAACGACGATAAAAATTGACCAGCCCTAGGAATCTGCGAAGATCTGCAACTGTGACCGGCAAAAGAAAGTCGAGGATGGCCTCTACCTTCCCTGAGCAGGGCTGAGAACCCTTGGAAGAGACCAGATGACCAAGGAAAATAAGCTCAGTTTTACCAAACTCACATTTAGGAACATTCAGTCTGAGGCCCAACTGTTTTAATCTTGCAAAGATTGTGCGAAGGTGCTCTTCATGTTCTTTGATGGAAGAAGAGAAGATGAGCACGTCATGAAGGTAAACAATAGCGAAGTCGAGATCGCCTAAAGCCTGGAAAATGTGTCTCTGAAAGGACTGAGATGCATTACGGAGCCCAAAAGGCACGAAAACATATTCGTACAGTCCGAACGGAGTGGTAAAAGCTGTCTAAATCACGTCCGTTGGTGCAACTGGTATTTGATAATAAGCTTTAAATAAGTCTAACTTAGAGATGATACTTTTTCCAGACAGACGAAGCGAATAGTCAAGCATGTAAGGAATGGGAAATCTGTCGGGGACCGTTTGGGTGTTTAGACGGCGATAATCGCCACAAATGCGCCAAGTCCCATCCTTTTTTTGACCATGTGCATAGGGCTAGCCCAGGGGCTCTTTGAGACTCTGCAAACACCTTGCTTGATCAGGGTCTCGAATTCAACCTGAGCGGCTTTAAACTTGACTGGGTCCAAGCGTCGTGGACGCTCGTGAACTGGAGGACCAGTTGTTTCAATGTAGTGAAAAATATCTTTAGCCAATATAGGTTCGGCAGGCTTGCTACCCGTAATCTCTGGAAAATCAGAGAGAATCTTTGACCAGGAAGAAGATGGATCAAGAAGACTGACTTTGGAGTAGGAGCAACTGGTAATTCCCCCAACAACAAAAGTGTTAGAGAACGGGTCTATAATTCTACGCCTGCGAACATCCACAATCAAGCCATAGGAGTGCAAAAAGTCAGCTCCTATGATAGGATAGGGTACATCAGCAACTATAAAGTTCCAGGAAACTGGGCGCTTAAGTCTGAGGCTAAGAGTCAGCTTGATTTCACCATAGGTGTTGATAAAAGTGTTGTTTGTCGCGTGGAGTTTAAAAGCAGAGGGACCAGTGTCTGAGTCAGCTTTTGGGACTACTGAAACGTCAGCACCAGTGTCAATAAGAAAGAGTTTACCTGAGTTTATGTCCCAGATATGGAGGCGTTTAGAAGCAATTGATGAGTTACCCTCTCTCAAAGCCTCCACTTGAGGAGAGTGATTTAGTTTCCCGAGTCAGAAGGCTTGGGCCAAGAGCAGTTGCCCTTGCAGTAGTGTGACTTATCTCCATATTTATTGTGGAGGGCACACAAACCATTAGAAGGTACTGAAGAATCACCAGAAGACTTGGCATCATGCCCAGCCGTTCTACTTTTCGAACGACCACGAGATTTACGATTAGAGTTTTTCTCTAGCTTGTCAAGTCTTGAACTCATTTAAGTTAACATTTCTTGAATTTTGCTAAGCGAAGAACTAACAGCATTGACACTGGGAGATGAAACCTCAGCACCAAGGGTTGAGATCTGGTTGAAAGATCCAGCTGAATCCATGTATCTGTCTGCAGCCGCGGCCAACTCCGACAACGAATCAATATTGTGGATTGACAGTGCGGACCGACAAGGCTCGGTAAGCTGCTCAAGAAAGACAGATCTGAGAACTGCTTCCGAAGCACCCGACTGCAAGGACTTCATCCTGTCTAAAACTGTTGAAGGTTTCCCATCGAGAGAGACCTGGCCCCGAAGCAGCTGTCTGAGACGTTGCTCAGGTGAGCCACAATACCTATTGATCACTTTCCTCTTAACCTGTTCATAAAGGTCAGCCGGGCGAGGATCTTCATTCAGGAGGTCCATGACACAAGCGACAGTGTCCATGTCGAATTTCTCTGCCACAAAATCTGCCTTCGTAGAGGAGACTGTGATTTTGGCATTGCGAAAGGCAATTTCTGCCAAGGAAAACCACGCGAGAGGATTGGCACGATCAAAAGTAGAAAGCTTGGGAGACTTATATGCAGCTACCTGTGGAGTACCCTGAGTTGCAGGCACCTGCTGCTGAACTTCAGCCAGCTGAGCCCTGAAAGCTTCCATCTCAACCTTCATTTCTTCCAATGATGAAGCCATGGTTACGAAAATTAGAGGAATATTCAGCCCTCAGAATGCCAGCGAGAAGAAAACACTGTAAAATAATGCACACCGAAGGTCCAAGTTCTACTCTGGGATTCTGAGGGATTCGCAAATCTAAACTACGCAACAGTTCCACATGTATAAAACTCACGCCTGGTCTGTCCACGCAGGAGCAGCAAAAATTGTAAAAATAAAAAAATGTTGACCTGTAAAAGCTAGATAAGGGACACCTGTGCGCTGTAAATAGGCTGGCCACAGGTTTTCGACTTAGCTGGAATCAGTGCTAATGTAACAAATAATTAAATGTACTCGCAGGTACCAACGTCAAAATTAATGAGCCACTGATTCGAATTGTAAGTAGTGTAGTGTGCTTGCGAGCTGTAAAGAGGCTACGGCAAACACAAAGATTACAATAAAAAGAAAATGTTACTGCGACGAAAACAATGAGCAGTAAATAATATTACTCTAATGATTATACAGGTCACAAAGCACAAACCACTACTATCTAACTAAAGTAATTGGTTACAAAAATTAGCAGCTAAGGAAAGGGGTAAGAGGACACCTGTCCCTTCATCACGTCTTAACCTACGTAAGCACTTAAACCTAGTCACATAATGTCACTACAAAAGTTATTAATTTAAAACTTATTCACTTTTATGTAGAACGTTATACTTGCTTGCACTGTCCACACACTATACCACTGTTGAAAGGGCCTGAAAGAGGACGCAGCAGGAACGGCGACGATGGCAAAGCGTGCAAAAGCACGTGGCAGCAACAGCGATGATGGCAAAGCGTGCAATAGCACTCGGCAGTGACAGCGACGGAGAAGGCGTGTTTAACACGTAGCACTCCGGAGAACAGGCGTGTAGTGCGCATACCAACACGCAACAGTTCCAGGAAAAGCTGCACCGTTTCTCCTTGCTGTGCCGATGGTTGGAGACAAAGGGAGCTTCCAAGATGGCCACCGCTGCCAGCAAAAGTCTCACCTCTCGAACGTCGGGGTCACCAATATGGGATTAGGTCCGTAATGCCGAGGTAGACTCTGGGATCAGGACGGGCTCCCATAAGCCCAGGAGTTCAGTCGAGAAGGAGAAATCAAGGAGCCAATTCATAACTGCAACAATAGTGAATTTATNGGGCTCCCATAAGCCCAGGAGTTCAGTCGAGAAGGAGAAATCAAGGAGCCAATTCATAACTGCAACAATAGTGAATTTATTGACTTAGTGACTCGTGAGGCGACTGCCCTGACTCGCAGTCGTACAAAGAAGAAGGAAAACATAGTGAGTGGGTAGACCGCTACAATGAAGAAGCGCTGCAATCACAATCAAGCGCGGAGGACGGAGTCGGTACTGCAGAGCTCTGAGTCCCTACACTTGTATTGAAAGTGCCGCCATCTATGCATATGCACCTTTTGATACAATGATTTAGATGTATCAACATTTGCTTGTATACTATTGGTCGTATAAATTTCTAACTTACCGACAAACATTAGGGTCACATAACTACTGCATTATTTATTGTTAATAACACGTTAAGGTTGGGAAAGTGCGAAACAACATTTTTTCCACCGAAAAAACTTTGATCGACCTAGGAAAAAAACTATCTTGTTAATTTGAATATTACCATAAGAAAATATAGATATTAAGTTGTACAATAAAAAACTACTTGTAAAATTGCAAAATAATTATTAGTTATTTGTTAGTTAATTTTCTCCAGTGAAACTTTAAAGTGTTATTACAAACTTTACTGATGGTTTATCGACATTTTGCTTTGGTAAAAACATTGTATTTGATATAGTTATTAATAACAAAATAAGAAAAAAATGGTTTTTGTCAATTTTGACGTTTTTTCGCAAAAAATTGTATTTTGCAACTTAAACAATTGCAAGTATCTTAATAAATTTTGCATGATTTTGTTTGAAATAAGCGGCATTGTATTTGACATAAAAAATACAAATTAAAAAATAAAAGAATGCTCTAGCTTACTCTGAAGCTGAGATGTAAGAAATTGATATTTTTTGCAATAATGGATTAACAATTAAGTTTTTCTACTGCGAAAAAATTTGTGTATCATCTTTATGTATATCTAAATCATACTGCCAGAGCACTTTTCAATTTTAATGAAAGGAAAGCTAAAAATATATTAAGAATGTCGCATTGTAACAACTGGCGTTAGCTCAGCGCTCCCATCTGCATCCCTCTCTTGCAACTAGGTGACCGACCGACCGTTTGCAGTGCGCATGTGGTAAAACACGGGCTGTGGCAGGCGTTTGAACTTAAATAAGTTGTTGTACATAATTATACAGTTTAAAACATAGTATTATACATGAAACATGCTTAATCAACAAATT